TGATGGTCGGCCGAGAAACAAACAAGTCCGACCAGCAGGTAGCCTATCCATCGATGGTCGGCCGAGAAACAACATAGCCTATCCCCGGGCAAGGTGCTCCCTGTTGCTGAGAAATGAAGATAACCTATCCCCGAGCAAGGTGCTCCCCGTTGCTGAGGAATGAAGAAGCAGATCACGACTCAACCTGGACTGGTCTAGTCAGAGTGAGGGTAGTGGAAGAGGCGGATGGAACACCCTCAACCTTCCAACCAGCCTCCCCCTTGGTCACTCTCCCCTTTGACCTGCTGGAATGGGGGTGGACATAGTCGCCCCGGACACTTAACTTCGGCAATAGATGATGAAACAGGGTTACCATAGAGTGCACAGAACCTGCCCGACGGACGCTTTGATTAAAAGATGGTGGTGGAAGGACTCGGTCCTCCGGCCGGAGGACCTCAATGGCTTCAGTTGGTCTCAATATACCCATACAATGTCGGCGGCACAGAGGGCGCTCCAGTGGCAGATCCTATACCGCAGTCTGCCCACCCTCGACTGGCTGGTCACAAGGACAGACCCCCAACATCAAGGCTGTCTTTCCCCTATCTGCCGGTACTGTTGTAGGAGCTCCCAGCCCACCGGAGCGACCCTGGAACACTGCCTATTAGGCTGCCTGATGGTCTCCGAGATATGGAGGTGGTGGGACGCTGCATGGACTGCCCTGACAGGATTCCAGTTCCCTTGGCAACCCAGGCTTCTGCTGTTAGGAAACCGGGCGGATGTCCTGGCAAACTGGTCCCCTACAAAAGGAACCTCTTTCGAATCACAACTTCGCTTGTAGACTAGAGCTGCTGATGATCACCTGGTGAGCCCGCTGCTCCTTCGAGCGAAATCAGCACACGCCGCAGGCCAAAGAGCACATCACAAGCTACTTGACAACCAGGGTAAAAGCAGGATGGGACGACCTCCGACACCAAATGCGGATAATAGACGAGAATCCGATCCTAAATCCTCAGGCCAAGAGACAGAAAACAGAGGAGGTGAGGAACCGATTCTCAGATGAGTGGCTGGGAGCCTGGGACCCAGGAAAGCAATTGCAGACACCCGAGACTCGCAAATAGAATGGAAACACTAGAGGAACGACGAAAATGCCTGGACCTACAACCCCCTATCCCATTTCTCAGTCCCCTATGCAGCCACCCTCCCCTCCTTCATTATCCTCACCGACCCCCCCGCCCCCCTCCTTAGCCCCTTCCCTTTATTTGGAGTTACTAGACCAACCTGCAGTTATAATACCATACACACCTAAAGACGAAATAGCAAGTATGTAAAGTATACCTACATTTAAATCTGACAGTACCGTACCAGACCATATGCGCCGCCAGGCAGCGAATGGTTCACCAGGTCCACCACATGCTCTCTGGGTTGAATTGAGTACGCAGTGCGCTTCTGATGCTGTTGCCACTTTGTGGCCTGGTTTCCTCAATGTCCTGGCACATACGATTTTCGACGTCGCTGTACGAGGGAAGACATACGGAACAGGATCAGCACTGCAAGTATCCAAAGCCATCTGCGATTCCACCAACCAGCACCACAGCACTGGTGACAACAAAGAAGGACCACCAAGGACAAGATGGCGATAACTCTGAGAGGCGCAGGATTGAGTTGTGTAACACTTGCAGCCCCTAAGGAGAGAAGCAGGATTTGGGAAGAGTTTCAGATGGGTATGGGGTTCAAAGGGCATTAACAGCAACAGCAAAGACAGGGGTGGTGGAAATCAGGACTCAAAGGGCTGGATAGACCAAAGGACGGCGGGGGCCGAACGGTGCCCCACGCTCTGCGGCCCCTCCGAGTTTTTGCTTGTGGGGGCCAAAAACTTTCTGCAACGATACAGAGACTGAAGATTAGCACGGCCCCTGTGCAAGGATCACCACACGTTGGCCCGCGGGTGTCAGCATGAAACCCTCGCCACTTCGGAGGTCGCTGTTTTCCCCGCACGCCATGCGGCCCCTCATAGTTTTTGCCTGGCGGCGAAAAACTTTATGCAACAATACAGAGACTGAAGATTAGCATGGCCCCTGCGCAAGGATGACAAAAAAAAACACAGAACCGGACCTGCACTCCCCAGAATGGACACGGAGCAAGAACCATAAGGCTCCGTTTTTTTTAAGGGAAAAAAAAGAGGTGGACCGTGCACTGCTGCTGGTAACATTTTTCTAGATGACATTACCTCCTTGATTTAAGAGGCCCCAACTGAAATGATAGCAGGTGCAATGCCAAATCTGCTGTCTTACTCTTGCCCTATACAGAATACCTCTATAAAGGTTCTATTGGCAGCTGCCCCACATGTGGACTTAAATATTATAATAAAGGAGCATCTTCAATAATCAAAACTCCCCGCGCCATCAGGATATAACACCTTGGCAGTGTTGCATACCTCGACGGTCGGCAGCCCTTGACTGGTCGGCTGATCGGCACCTACCGGTCGGGGATCATAAGCACCCCACAATTTTTTTTTGTTTTTGTTTTTGTTTTTTTTTGTTTTGTTTTGGGTCCAGAACTCCTAATAACCTCACCAACACCCCCATAACGGCCCCCAATACCCTCCAACACCCCCCCAACAACCCGAAACCTCCCCCAACACCATCATTACCTCCTCCAGTACCCCCTATACCACCCCTACATAAAAATAGTTGGGTGCTGCACCTTGGTACATAAAAAAATATTTTGCACCATTCTACCGTCATCCCCTGAATTGAATGTACCCACTGTACCGTCATTATAAATAGTTGGGGGCAACTCGCGGTGTAAATAAGCTATAACGACCGAAAGGGTGAAGCCGATGGTACTCACAACACTCTATATCGTTGTTGCAGCAGCGAACATGTTCTTCTTCCAACCCCCCCCCCCCAAAAAAAAAAAAAAACAACACCCGCCCACCCCTTCCCATAATACCCATATACATTAATACCATGTATTACCACCTAACGATGACCATGAAACATGTTTAGGGCCAGACGGGGCTATCATGGCCATGCATGATGATTGCCGAGGACAGTTGTATATAATTGCTGACATTCATTACTAGAAAAGCTGCAACTGAAAAAAGAAAAAAAAAAGAAAAAAACAAAAAGAAAAGAAAAGAAAAGAAAAGCTGCAACTATGACATCATCGAACGAATGAGATGATTGACCTCCACCACCACCCTTCCTCTCCTCTCATCAATTCTCCCCAGTGCACGCCCACTCCCCCAGTCCTACCTCAGTGTCTACCACTCATATCACCCCCCACTTGCAAGACCCACTAGGGCGGGGTGACCCTCACACAAGAGTGCTCCACAGCAGGTAGGCAGGTAACTCTTGCAGTCTCTCTTCTGCCAGTTTTTAGCAGTTTGCGGGGCCTAAAAAATGTCTTCTAGCACGTGGCGAGCAACTAAAGCAACTACCTATCAAACTGTGACTCAGACTAAGTAGTAGCCTCACTCAGTCACATGTAGTCCTGTAGTAGGACCTGGTGTAAGCATACAGTGAAATAAAGATTGCTACTGTTTTAACCCGAACTGAATGCCCAGTTGTTACTGCAGAATCCAGACCGAAAGATGGCCCAAATACATCTAGAATGGCCAGCGGTGGGTTGGAATATACAGTGGCGGGTCCTTATACAGGGAGAGCAAGACAAGCACCTACCTCCTTCACGTGAACAGAATGCCCGGTGATTACCACTGCATCTCGACCGGAAGCTACGCCAAAGAGAGCTGTATAGATAAGTGTATTTTGCCTTGGGCACTGGGGCCTTGATACAGTCATTTCCTGACAAACAATGAAATTGCTTAAACTGCAAGTACAGGGCCCCAGCCTTGCAGAAAGCTTTTGTTGCCACAAGCAAAACTCGGAGGGGCGCCGTTGAAAAAAAAAAAACGGCGGCCTCCGAACTGGTGCGGGTTTTATGCTGACACCGGCGGGCTGATGCATGGTGTACTGGTGCTTTCAGGCTCTAAGCTACCACAGTGGCCCGAGCCCACTTCCCCAGACAGGCGGGGAAAAAAAAAGAAAAAAGAAAAAAAGGAACTTAGTCAATGAACAAATAAGTGGTGTACCAGCAGTTAAACAACGATTTTTTCCTTTCATCTTTGTCACTTTTACTTTTTTGTTATTTTGTAATCTTATTGGCATGATTCCTTATAGTTTTACAGTGACAAGTCATTTTGTGGTCAGTTCCTTTTCATATGTGGGCACCTGATGTATACGAGGGTTCTCCTACTTTTGTCACAGCTTTCTTTTCTATAACACCTAAGATTGCTGTTCTTGCAAATATGTTACGTGTGTTTCTTTTTAGTTTTTATGATCCAACATGGCAAACAATCTTCCCATGCGACCCTGAGGCAAAATTTGTTCAGTTTATTTTTCTGCATAACACAACCTTTTTTGAGTTATTTTTTATTTTTGTTTTTTTGCTGGGCAGCCTGGCCAAACAGGGTGACCAGGGCGGCCCGGCTCGTAGCCTAGCTTAGTCCGTTATTCTCAGAGTTCTCCGGTCCTCCAGAAAAGAACCGATTCTTCCACCAAGTCATGAACGGCATGCTTTTGTGCATTCCGAGCAGCTGCTGCAGAAAAAAAGTGATGCGAGTGCAGCATTGCACATGCTTCGTCTTGGTGGGCTCATTGTCTGTAACATGAAATTCGAGGACTTCAACATGTGCCCAAATATGTGAAGTCTTACATCAAGAGTGACTCTGAGAGACGGAAACGTTCGGCATCGCTTCGCACACACACACACACACACACACACACACACACACACACACACACACA